TTAGATGTTTTATATAAATTAAATACATTTAGTTTAATAACAAAATAAAGGTTTATATCCAAAATTAAAATTAAAACCAAAATAAATAAAACCGATCAAAAAATCGGTTTTATATAATTTAAGCCTTTCCATTAATATTAAACTAAAATGGTTTATACGTTCTAAATAATTTAAATTAATTTCTTATGATGATATAAAAACTATATTTTATTAAATTCGCAATCCAAAAATAAGAAAAAACTAATCAAATATGTGATAGCTATTTTAAGCAGTTTGAAAAATGAAAAACAATATTCAATAGATCAGATAAATGTATATATATATATCAGACTTCAGTCTATACCCCACATAGCGCATATACCTGCACTTCTTCACTTTCAGTACAGTGCTTGGAATAAGTGTATGCAAAAGTCAACGACTGCCAGACAGACGGCCGGACGGTCCCACTGGCAGACATGCCCAGACAAGGACTGGCCGCCAGGAAGTTGAAGGAAACGCACACAATGTGGGAATGTCATTTTGCTACAGAATGTCACAGCCTTTCCATCTCCCTCTCTCTTTTTCGCTCTCATTTTTATTTTTTTATTGCAGCTATGTATGTGTGTGTAAAGGCCTGACGCTTGTCCCAGCTTTCTCTCTCTCCCCCTCACTCCTGCTGTTGGCAGCTGTCTTGCTCTCTGCTCTTCATCTTCATCTTTTCTCATTGTGCAAAGTGCATGGCAGAGCGTATAGCATTTGCAACGGTAAAAGCGAATATCGTTCACATTCAATTGGAACTGATTGCAAAGCAACGTCCTGTGGTTGTTCATTAAGGTTTAAGCTTACCGAAGGATTATCCTGAGTTGTATATGTTGAGTTGTTATGTTGCTTAAACTAAAATTTATGTATAGAAAATTCAAGTCTAAGTTGTTTGCATGAAAAGATCTCGCTTGAGCGAAGTCTAATCCAAAACAGAATTCCCCCTTAAGCTGTGCTATGTAAATATACAAATATTTATCTTATTGTATTTCACAAGCAATGCAAAGCTCTCTCACGCGCACTTACACACACACACACACACACACACAAATACATGTAGCTGCTGCGTAAATTCCTATGCTCATTTAACGCTTGTTATTCAACACATACACTCTCTGTTTCTCTGTATTCCTCTTCCCACACAGTTTCACTGGAGAGGACGTGTCAAGACCCGTTCAAATAGAATTAAAATGCAGCTATTAAATAAAAATCTCAGCAGTGACCACAGCGCTCTTAACTTAAAATTAATTACAATTAAGCAAAGAAAATGGCACACACCAAAAAACACAAAACAAGAGAAGAAAGTGCGAACAAAAGAGCAAAAATAATATAAAAAAAATAAAAAATAAAACAACAAAAACAGGCCAAAAGCCGGGCAACTTACAACAGTCACGAGTTGAAAGACTAACACGCTAAGCGCTTCGCATTAAATCCAAAAGAGCGTCTCAGTCGCTGTCGCAGTCGCAGCAGTCGTAGCACAAAATTTAACACTAACTGCGCTGCCGGCGGCAATGGCGTCTGCTGTTGTTGCTGCTGCTAATCCACTTTTACTGTTCTTCCGCTCACTCCCACATGCACACACTCACACAAATAAACACAAACACACACTTGCACGCTCTCATGTATGCAAGCGAAAAGGTAGCGACGGCGACGCTGCAATTTTTTTTTTCTCGTTTTATTTATTTTTTTTTTTTTTTTTTTTTTTTTTTTTTTTGGTGCTGCGCTTTTGTTGTTTGTGGTTTTTTGCTGCTGTTGTTGTTGCGGCTGCTGCGCTGCCGCTGCTTGGCGCTTTTCGCACTGATTGTTACACACTAAAATCGAATTAAACTTGCGCGCTGTGCAGTTGTTGCGATTGTTGTTGTTGCTATATTTTTGCCGCACTTTCCGCCAACTTTCGCTCTAACTTTTACTTTGTTTGCAGCGCAGGACACGTTGGCCAACAACAACAAAATAACGGAGTAAAAGCAGAGCGTAGAAAACTTTTAAAAACGTGCAATTTTCGGCTGAATGTTGTTGTTGCTGTTACTCCTCCTCTTTCTCTTCCTTGCTGTTTCTCTTCTTTTTGTGCTAGCTGCAGCGAAGCGAACGCGTAAAAGGGATTTTCTAATAAGAAACGCGACAAAAGTTGAGCGTTGCGATCAACGGTGCAAGCGTTGCGGGACTTAACGGTTTCTAGCCCATTTAGCNAATTTTTACAGAATTTTAATCTTTTTTTTTAATTTTTATACTTTTCCTGTTATCAAAATTTGTATTAATATTCTTTTTATATATTGTATATTAATTTCAAATTATTCATTCTTTTTTACTGATTTCATTCTTGCATTATCCCAAAAATATTCAAATAAACTGCAAACCCAATTTACTCTGATAAGAAAAATCCGTTATCATCAAAAGAATATCCCAAAAAATTTGCATCCTCTAATTATGCTCTTATTCGATTTCCCAAACTGATCTTTGCAATCATCCCTGGATTCTAGAAATCTCACTGCATGCAAGTCCAATTGCTATATTAGCACAAGTTCGGCTTTAATATATTTAATTTTTAATTAAATCTGCAAACTTTAGTTAATTATTCATTTTATTATGCATTGTGATGCATCCTTAGAATGCAACACACACACGCACGCACGAACACACACTACGCACAGCAACAATAAAACGCACGAGTGTGTGTGCCCCTTATTAGAATCGGAGCTTCAATTTTACCGTTAGCACAGACCGTACGCACAGAAAATCACTTGAAAACTGTTCGGCCGGCCGCATCGGATGTGCCGAACGGCCAGCCAGTGGGCACAGCCAATGATGTTGCGACAACAATGTTGCTGCAACGTACCGCACTGCATGCGAGCCGAAGCTAAATCTGATTGTTGCCGTGAGAGCCAGCAATGTTGCAGCAACTAGTTTGAGTGGAATTTGTCTGCAGCTCATGCAAGTTGAGGGCGAACATGTCGCAGCTGATTTAAGTTCGTTTGAGTAGTTTGAAATGGTTTGATACAGTTGTGCGGTCACTGAGGTGAATATTAGTTGAGCAACATTTTGGAATGCTGCTACGATGTGCTGCCGCTCCACATGTTGCATGACGTCGACTGCATGAGAATTTCTTATATTTAGACAATAGTCAATCATGACTGAACAAGTTTGTTTGCTTTGACTGCGTGGGTGAGACACAACGGTTTATTCTGTTCTCTTCACGCATGCCAAAAGCATTTAAAGGGAAAGGCAATTAAAAGCGTCAGACAAATTGAGCAATTAGGCTGGAAAAACGGCATATGCCGTTAAAATTGTAATTTGACTAACATTGATCAATATCAATGAATACATGTATGTACATATATATGAATGTACATATGTATGTATGTACGACTCCTTAAACAATGATGATTATTCCTATTACTAAAGCATTGTTGTCTGATTTCATCAACGCGTAAAACTAATTACATACTTTATAGCAAATAAATAATATCTAATATGTATCTATTATATGAAGACATGTATGTATGTAAATATATTAAATGCCTTTAATAATCTGATAAAAACAAAACACACTCACCCGCTTTGAGGGTTAATGAAATATTAGTTTTTTCTTTTCTTCAACTACAAGTAGTAAGCATAGATTTTTACATATCCAATATTCTCACACAATTTTAAATTTCCAAATCCATTCCGCGAAAATCATAAACACATTTCCCACTCACATGGTTGCACTATTCATATCGATAGCTTACTCCCGACTATCGATTGCTGCTGACAGTCACATTGCCCATCAATTCTATCGATTGTGCGACCGCCGTTTGACCGTCGCGTCTCTAGCACAGCGACTTTGCCCGTTCTTTCCTGTCGATACGCCAGTGCAGGCGTGTAGTGTTTTTAAAGTTGGTCCACGTAAATCAATAAACATCCAAAATGGTAGGTGCCAATAATCTGAAATAAATACAACAAATGCAAGACAATAAAACGCCGCAGTCAAGTGCATCATAATTTTGTGCGTGTGTTTGTCAGACGAGTGTATAAAATGATGCCAAAAAGACTATCTAAAAATTGTAGACGTGACACCGTCTGTCCACTGTATGTGTGTGTGAGTGTGTGTGTGTGTGAGTGTGTGTGTGTGTGTATGAGGCAGTGGTGAAATGCAAGACAAAGAAATTAGCTCAAGGGGCCATCACAATGACGTATGCAACTATTGCAAAAAAACGAAAGAGATGAAAACGGGTCATAAGATCTGGCCAGATGTTTGCTTAATGCATTTGTGTAAGTGATTATCTATATATATATAGAACTACAAAATTGTTTTGCAAGCAATAGACAACGCAAGTGGTTTTCGGGTTCAGTTCTAACCTCACAAAATATCACATCGCCTGAGCCAAAATGTGTGCAGGTATCTGTGCTTGTGTGCGTGCGTGTGTGAGAATTTGTATGGGCATTAAACGCCATTTTTAATGGCAGCCAAACCTCACTCACAGCTTAAACATGGATTTAACTCTGATGCCTTTCTCTTTTCTTTTTTTCCTCCTGCTGCTGTATATAGGTCAACTTCACCGTCGACGAAATCCGTGGCTTGATGGACAAGAAGCGTAATATTCGCAACATGTCCGTCATTGCTCACGTCGATCACGGCAAATCCACCTTGACCGATTCGCTTGTGTCCAAGGCTGGTATTATTGCCGGAGCCAAGGCTGGTGAGACCCGTTTCACCGATACCCGCAAGGATGAGCAGGAACGTTGCATTACCATCAAGTCAACGTAAGTCTTAGACAAAGCTCTACCCTCAGCCACGCAACGCCCTCCAATCTAATATATAATCTAATCTCAATTTCTCATTTGCAGTGCCATTTCCATGTACTTTGAGGTTGAGGATAAGGATTTGGTGTTCATCACGCATCCCGATCAGCGTGAGAAGGAATGCAAGGGTTTCTTGATCAATCTGATCGATTCACCCGGTCACGTTGATTTCTCATCTGAGGTGACGGCCGCTCTCCGTGTCACCGACGGTGCCCTCGTCGTTGTGGACTGCGTTTCCGGCGTGTGCGTCCAAACTGAGACTGTGCTGCGTCAGGCTATCGCTGAGCGCATCAAGCCCATTCTGTTCATGAACAAGATGGACCGCGCTCTGTTGGAGCTGCAACTGGATGCTGAGGAGCTGTACCAGACCTTCCAGCGTATCGTGGAGAACGTGAACGTCATCATTGCCACCTACAATGACGATGGCGGCCCAATGGGTGAGGTGCGTGTGGACCCCAGCAAGGGTTCGGTCGGTTTCGGTTCCGGCCTCCACGGCTGGGCCTTCACCCTCAAGCAGTTCTCCGAGATGTACTCTGAGAAGTTCAAGATTGACGTTGTCAAGCTAATGAACCGGTAAGCAAAACTATTACTTGATATATATATATACATATATATGCTTTTAGCACAAAACGTGTGACGCTGAGCGTGCGACTTCTTTTTGGACAGTCACAAACCTGCAAGGGGGCGTGGCTGTTCAGCTAGAACCGCGCGTGCTGATAGCGCCACAAGTGCAATCGAAAATAAAAGCAGATCAAATTATGTAGACGCTGTTGAAACGCTACACCGGAACCTCTTTCCTAATGTTCTAACGGTGCATTTGCTAAGGCAGCGACTCGACAAATTAACAATATATCTATATATATGTATATAGGTAGGGTCATCAAAACAGTAGCACTACTAATAAACTGAATATAATTATGCATGAATTAATAGCAAATTATGTTAAAATTAATTTAAAATTATTTGTATAACCTGTCTATATATATTTAAATAAGTATTATATATGCCGACATTTATAGGCTCCATCATTTCAACTTAAGTTTTTTATAAACCACTTAAAAAAAAAAACACCCAATATTTTACATTAGACTAGGTTGCATAAAATCTTTGATATATGCGATGTATGTTCTGATTTTCTTCGTAATGCCCTCGTTTTTTGTTTCACGGAAAAATGATCTATTCTTACAAAAAATATGTTCTAGCTCGCTCGCTTAGCAACACTTTAGTATGACGTCATTTTTTTTTTTAGCTCTACCACTAAAAAAAGTATTGCAGCAATACAACGAAATTAGCGAGAGTGAAATTTGATTAGAGTAGACTAAGACGATCGTTGTTAAGCTGTAGAGCCCACAAATAGAATTATCTGAAGAATATAATATTAATAATATGGAAAATAAATTTGCAATTAATTAAAAGCATTGATAGAAATGAATTGGTCTAGATAATATTAAAATTAATATTAAATATAGACAAACTAAATAAATAAAGTACATATGAATTATTTCATATAACAATGAACAACATACAAAATAGCATCAATTAAAATATAAAAACTAAATTAATCAGACTCACCTGGAAAATATTGAAGAAGTATCCGAATTATTAATTTCTTCATGAAAGTAGATTAGATTAGATATTGATAATTAATAAAATTATAAAAACTAAGGAAATCAGTCTCACCTGAAAAAAGTGATTCAGAAGTATACGAAAGAAACATTTATTCCTGAAAGTAGATTAGATTAGATATAAATAATTAATAAACATCATTCATATCAATTACTATAAAACTATTTCTAAAAATCATTAAAATCAATTTCCATATAAAACGATTATTCCTTATAAAAATCATCCAAACTCAATTTCAACTTCTATTAATTTCATTTTGTAGTCTGTGGGGTGAGAACTTCTTCAATGCCAAGACCAAGAAATGGCAGAAG